ATTTAAGCATTTTTCTTTGTCTGAACACTGAAACACAACCACACAAGAAGGGGAAAAACAAAAGAGCTGCTAACTTCCACATCGATGGAAGCAAAAATAAAATAAAATATATACAGCTGCATGACAACATATATTGCCATCCATTTGACAACTTCAGGGAAGACTTTGCTTATTTCAGCAAGACAGTCCAGAACATTCTGCATCCATTTCAATAGTATAGCTCCAAAAGGGACAACAATGGGCATCGCTTTCAAACTGCAGCAACTCGTTCCAACAAGGAGACGCAACACAGAAGGAAATGGAGATGTTTCCTACTGTTTTAATGTGTATCTGGCAATGGAGTTTAATCAACATTTCATATGAATTGAATGATATTTTTCAGTTTCAGTTATTTAATATGATCTTTCTGAAGTATTTAAATATAGTCTTTAAATGGTATGAAAATTACTACATTTTGATTTTATTTAAATACCCTACCAGCCTTTTTGGAAACAGGATTTGACTTTGTATACTATGCAAAGAAAGATCTTTTCCAAACTATGATGCTACGCTCGTAAATTAAAATATGTCCCGTTTCAAACCACATATAAATATGTATTGTGCAGGCTGAGGATGGAAGACACCAAAATTGGGAATTCTCTAAAATATGCATATATCCCTCATTGGTACATGTGGTAAAACATCCACTTCTGTCTTACATTCTCAGCACAGTAAATAAAAAAGGGAATCTGTTCATTAAAAACAAGAAACAGTCAGAGGCTTGCTTCCCTGAGCAGTATTTACTTTAGGGAAATAGTATTGTATTTTGCCTGCATTATCACTTTGACCTTTAGGTCAATTTATTGACCTTTGGGAGAGGTCAGAGGTGAAACGTGACACGATATTCAAAATCTTTATACAGTGCATTCTACTGTATATGTTGACACCAAAATTCCAAGAGTCATAGTTTCCATAAAGTCTTTTGTCAGTTTCTCACCAATAAATTGTTAAGTTGACCTTGAAGGTCTCGATGGATGTAAGATAAATTTTAATTCCTTACCTGAAAGGTCCGCAGTGTTGTGATGGTCTGTATCTCACTATAGCAAAGATGGTGGGCAGCATACACAAAAACAGCATGAAAAGCAGCATAGCCAGGTAGAAGTTGTTTGACCTAAAAAAGCAACGTGAGAACATGGATGTGTTGATATGATTCATTTTTACATTACTGTCTTTCCTTCATGCTCCTGAGCAGTTGAGTAGAAAATTACAATTCATGTGAATCAACTTAGCATAGTGCCGCTCGATTATGGCAAAAATGATAATCACGATTATTTT